CCCCTCACTGATTACACTGTAAATGATAATCTACCTTAACCAAAATCAAAGTAGACTATCACTCACCCACACCAGATGGAAAACTCTACAGACTGTCGGTTCATACCCCATCACAAGCCAACAAAACATCCACGAATATATCGTCAAAAACAGAACTGCCAGGTAAACCGTAGGCACAGAGAGAGAAGAGGACAACAAACGAGGGGCTGTGACAAACTGTTTCGTCGGAGTTTCATCGACTCATCAATATATGTGACAATATATGTGACAATATATATAGCAATTCCGACGAAACAGTTTGCCACAGCCCCTCGTTTGTTGTCCTCTTCTCCCTCTCTGCCTACGGTTTACCGGGCAGCTCTGTTTGACTATATATATATATATATATAAAACATATAAATCTATTTGACTGAAATATAAATACGCTATGTATAGTAAATATTACTTACTATCTCACTATGCGCCCTTATTATTTGTTATGATGTTATTTTTAATTGTTTTGTGATGTATTGAAATATTCTTTTTTTTATGACTATCAATGAAAAGTTTATTATTCGTATTATTGATATACCGGGCAGCTCTGTTTGACTATATATATATATATATATATATATATCGTCAAATAGAACTTTATATATATATATATATATATATAGGTCAAACAAAGCTGGCCGGCAAACCGTAGGCAGAGAGGGAGAGGAGAACAAGAAACGAGGGGTTGTGACAAACTGTTTTGTTGGAGTTTCACTGACTCATCAGGAGGCTGAACCCTTGTCAAACGGATTATATATATATTGTCACATAACTATGAACTAAAAAAGCACAATTTGCGAAACAAAAGACAAAAAAAAAAAAAAACAAGCAAACAAACATGAAGGGCACAGTGAAACCATTCATTTTACTCATTCTTCTTTTGACTGCCCTTTCACCGTGCCTCTCACGTACAAGGCTCGCCACGTTGATGAAGTTGATCGCGAGCTGCCGCCATCCCCGTGTGCCATAACAGCCCACTTGTACGCTGTGAGAAAGAGGCAGAGTGAAGGGGGAGGGGATAAACACAGGGAGGAGAGATGGAGAGCAGACAAACAAAGAACGATAAAAGGAAAGTAAGGGAAAGTATGGAGTGTGGAGTGAAGATGAAGGCAAAAGAGGATAAGAAAAGGCTCAGGAATGAGTCTGTCCTTGACGACAAAGAGGACATACATTGTAAGGATGACGTGGATGAACACATGAAAGACCTAGCTGAGCATTCTCAGTGCAACAATTGCCACGACGGGTGGCATTGAGCATGCCCGCCATACACCTCCGACAAATGGCGTGTCGATTGCAGGCCAAAATGAAAGAAGAACGATCACCACAAAAGAGCATGCATTCAGTATAGCGCCTATGACTGCAAAATGGACATATAGTGTCCGGATGTGGAGGGTGCCTGCAGTCAGGAATGGTGGGACAGTCCTCTGCACACATGGATGCAGAAACCATGTCATTGTAGTGATCGTGACAGAGACGATGGCGGCTACAGCCGAGTGTAACAGTGTTTGTAGTTGTGCAAAGGAGAAGGTCACAGAGTGTTGGTGCATTGTCTTGCTGCAGCACAGGGCCAGAGGAATGATATTCAACATAAAAAAGATTGTGGATGGTTTGTTGTGGCAAGAAAACAACATTGTTTTGTAAGAAATCAGTGACATCAATCATGGCATGGACCATGGTGCCGTTGTCCCACAACTCCCAGTGGTCAGAGGCATGTACAATGACCATGTAATGGCCAGGACCGTGCACAATGCAGGCAGAGATGTGGGATGTAGGATTAACCCACTCACCTGCTCCAGGCTGCTCGAGCAT